ATTGGAACTGAGCATGCCTGGCTGTGGAATTCTGGGAGTTGAAGTCCACAAGTCTAAAAAAATTGCTGCCTCACCAGCCATAAACCTCACCACACATCACTGATACTGATAGTGGACTTTATGTTATATGCAAGACTAAGTAAATAATATTTTTCTGTCTAGAAAACAAATATTTCTGCAAAAGTTTACTATCCCTTTCCAGACTGAAGGAGGCAGGTAGAAGTTTTTTTTTTCTAGTGAAAATTGGCAGTAGATTCCTGAGAGTAGTAGGAAGGGCTGAAGGAGCAGATTCTACCTGATACTCAAGTTCTGAAAGTACTAGAGTTAAACGTGCAGAACTGGCAGGAAAAATATAAGCAAAAGCACCAGGCATTATTATCTTCATTCTCATGGTTATTTCTGTTTCTAAGTTTGTCTCTTTGCTTGATTCATTTCTGGCACTTGTACGTGGTCTGGTATAATTTGGTTCAGCTATCTAATTTCCCAACTGTCTATTTTGTCACATTTACTAAAATAAAATGCTTTTATTAATTGTTATGCTAGCATTGGGTTTATAGTAGCACCACATACTCCAAAACTACTTATAAATAACAACCACAAAATGAGGGGCATTTCTTGTTCTGCCTTACCCAAATTTCAGGTAAAAGGGAAGGAGGGCTACATCCACACTCAAGAACAGATAGTACAAATTTAACAACCTAACCCACATAGAACTTCAGGAAGCAGTTACATCCAGAACTCAGTTGGGAGGTTGATGATCAGGGTCAAACAGAGGCAGCAACTCAAAAAAACTTACAATGGCAGTTTCTGTCCAATCAAAGCCAAGCCTTTGAAACAGGCCTATACAATGGGCCAAGCTTCAATCAGAGTTATTTTGTCATGCTGACATTTATTGATAAAATAAGTCAAAATTCCAGATGCCCCTTATAAAGCATGCAAAAAAAGAAAAGAATAGGTCACGTTAGCTTTTTTGTCCCCCCCCCAACCCCCGGTAAAAAAAGTGCATACACGCACATGTCAAACAATTGATTAAAAATGTGTACCTAATTCATAGCCAAATCTGGTCTTAGGTTCTGCCTAGGTTTATTTTCCAAATAAGCAACCAAGTTGGAAGATCATTTAAAAGCAGTTTATTAGGGTGCCCTGATAAAGTGGGATCTCCCTATAAAAAGGGAGAACCAAGACCCTTCTCACATTCCTTTTATATAGTTAACACATCAAAGAAAATGAAAGAGGAAAGTTAATTGGACAGGATAAATGTAGCCTCTCCTTTGCACAGTAAGTCAGCTACAAAGGTGGTTTGAAAATTCACAAACAGATTAAACAAAATGCATTAAACTTTTTCTTATCAGGAAATAATATCCATCCGCTCTTCTGCAGTTTATCTTCTCAGTTTAGGAATGTTAGACTCAATCAATCAATCAATCAATCAATCCATATAGTGATAGGATAGAAAGTTTTCCTACATTCTAATCTATAGTGGTTTGATAAATCTCATAAAAGAGAGAAATAAGTTAAAATACAATGTAACTATGTTAGTTAACAAGTTACAAAATCCATGTCATGTGCCCCTCATAATCCCACATACCATAATTTGAATTGGTATTGGCTATAGCAGTGTTTTTCAATCTTTTTTGTGCAAAGGCACACTTTTTTCATGAAAAAAATCACGAGGCACACCACCATTAGAAAATGTTAAAAAAATTTAACTCTGTGCCTATATTGACTATATATAAAGTAATTTCCCACGGCACACCTTACACTATGTCACGGCACACTAGTGTGCCACGGCACAGTGGTTGAAAA